GGTCAAATTGAGGTCCCCATAACATAGGGAATACCAGGCACACACACAGGTTCAATGGCACTGTAGTCAATTACTAGAAACTTTCCTTTGCATTTCCTTTAAAACAGGAAACAAGGCAACAAAAGGATGCTGATACACACATCCTGTCTACTTTAGAGCTCTGCAATGATTTCAACCATTTCCAAAGCATCTTCTCACTGTTCCAATGCCATAAATCATCACTTGAGATACTAGTTTTATAATGACCTCAATTTTCTTGCTTAGTTTATATTATGCAGCACTGAAAAAAGCGACTATTCCTAGTAAATGCGACTTTATATTGCTAAATTGCGATTTTATATTTAACAATATCACTTGAGATCTCACAATTGCGACTTCATTTTTCATAATTGTGACTTTATATCACGATTCCATATCTCACAACTGCAAATTTATATCTCTCACCTGTGAATTTCTCGAAATTGCAAAATTTACGTCTCCCAATTGCAAATTTGTGACTTCATCTCTCACAATCACAACTGACTTTATTTCTCATTTTAGACATGATCTTACAATTACATTTTTTTTTTTTTTTTTACTCTGAGGTGGAAACAGACTTCCATAAATTCCTCATCTGTTTGACTTGGTGGTTCAAACTAGCAGTAAATCAGACTTGTACAGTTTCTACTGAGAAACACAAACAACACTGTAGACTGTGGGGGAAAAAATCTCCATAGTGCAATATAAAAACTGCCCTGGAAGACAAAATTGAATGGAAAACAGTCAAAACAATGTAGTAATTTCAATCTGAGGCCTCAGTAAGCAGCACTATGCACTTTTTGGCCTAGAGTGTACTTGTTGGTTCTCAAAGTGAATGTGTGTGCACTACACCAGCATGTGTGTCTGCAGTAGCATTTCGTTTGATTAATTTTTATGTACGTTGTGTGTGTGTGTTAAAGAGATGACCTATCAGGGGAATGTGCTGAGTAAGGCTGTAAAGAGGGTCAGACAGGAAGGACCAAGAACAAAATAACGCTCCGAGTCTCTAGCACCTGAAATTCTGCCTCTGTCAGGCCTTTGGGTGACCACTAGATCCCGTACAGAGGAAGCTGAGAAAGCTGATGTGTCATGCCTTCCTCTCCAGGCCTGTGTTTCTGCACACACAGCTCAGGAAAGCCACACACACACACACATATGCTCAGTTATCCTTCTGCTTTCCTAGCCTTGTTGCATTTACACTGGACAGAGATTGCAGCTCCTCTTGGCTTGCGGTTTAAGGGCAAAGACTGCAGGCGGCTTGTGCATGTTGTTTGCGTGACACCTGCTGAGTCTGACCTACTGCGAGGGCCTTCTTGTGGACCATGAGCCGCTGCTGTGTGGTTCAAGTCATCTCTCTCACTGAGATCCAACTGCTGCCGGTATGTAGCTGCACAAGCGAGAGAAATAGGGATGAGAGCTGCATGAGAGTTTGAGCTCAAATGCTGTTTGTGAGTCTTTGAGTGCAATGTTCTTTAATGGTTGCTTGGAATTGTTTAATGGAAAACTGAGTTTAGATTGAGCTTCAGTTACTCTGAGTCTATAAAAGTGCTGTTTTGAAGAGATTGCTTCTTGTTGCTCAGCTGGTAGAGTACACTATGGCACTCGAGGTTATGGGTTCGATTCCCAGGGAAAACACGATGAAAAAAATGTATACCTTGGATGCACCATAAGTCACTTAGAATAAAAGTGTTTGTCAAATGCATAAATATACATTGAATATCTATTTGGGCTGGACCCTTGGTTAAATGGACAGAGATGATACAATCAAACAGATTTATGGCTCCAGCAAAAAAAATTAATATCTGTAATACTTCTGAAGATAGTTGAATGACGGAAGTAGGATTAAAACAAACAAACACACACACACACACACTAAGTGGCTGTAAAGCACACATTGTTCCCCAAAAGTATTTGGACACTTAAGTCACCCTCAAAAATGACTAAATGTCAAATATTAAATATTATAAGCATGTATAGCATTTAATATTTTAATAGTAAAAATAATACACAAATATATTTTCATATTCGAAACCTATATTTCTATACAATAAATGATGCTTAGTTTGAAGTTTTCATTTTTGCCTTTTGACATTTTGCATTTTTGAGTGTGGCTAAATTGTTTAAATATGTGTATTGCTGCTGTGCAAAGAAATATCAAGAACATGCTGTCAAATTCAAGAGAAGGAACAACACCTGATGTGAATGTGATTCCGTTCTTTTGGTGTGTTGTGTGTGTGTGTGTGTGTAAGAAGTTTTACTTTCTCTTCCCCTCAGAAACTTTTGTGGTCTAACAGCATTGATTCTTAAGAGGAATATTCAGCATAGCACAACTGATGTCTTCAGAAACAAAACAAAAGAGTATCTCTGACTCACATCTGTCAAAATAAAGGCATATCCTATAGATTTATATTAAAGTGATTGAACTTCTTTACCCATTCCAATTCAATATAATAATAATGACCTTTTGGCCATGAAAGGTTTTGTCCATGATTTCTAAAGCCGGTAAAAATTGCCCCCCTCCCCAGTGTTTCAAAACACAGATTTTTCTGAAGTGAAACCAGAACTTGACTAATGCTGAAACAAAATTAAGCAACATCAACGCTAGCACAGTAGATTATACCTCGTCATTCCAGACACACTTACAGGTTTTCTAGGCAAGATGCACACTTAAAGACCAAATCAAGGTAAAGGAAATGTTTTTGTTATTATATGTTATATTACATTAATGTGTCAGTGTTTCTGTTCTTCCATACTGTCATTATTTTTTTAATTCTACTATAACAAATAAATATAATTTACAATATATATATACAATTATTAATTAAACTAATATGTTGATATAAACTGCTATTCTGCTAGCTTAAAGTTTGTGAGTGTGTGATATATATATATATATATATATTAGTTATTTAAATATAAGTTATTTAAAGGAGTACACATTACTATTGTAGACAATATAAACTTTTATGATATACATCAAAATTGTAAAAAAAAAAAATAAGTTTATGAACTTTATGAAGCATGCAAATCTCAACTGTATCATTGATAATTTAGTGTAAGATCAGCTCATAATCTGCATGCTGAATGTTTAGTTAATGAATGTGTAATGTTGTTTTAAATATGCCATCTAATACATCTTCACATATAGGGCTTCCATTGTCAACACTTTATTTGTGAACGAAATCACTACAGCTTCAAACACATTACAGGCTTTGATTAGTTAATAGTCGTGTATCCTGCATTCACAACAGAAAGGGGAGATGTAAGTCAAGGACATGGCCCTCTAACACAACTATAACCCTTCCCTTCCCCACTGCAGAGATGAGCTCTCAGACACACACAATGGCTTCTTTCACCTTTGCCTGGGATAAGAGAGAAGTTACACTCTTAGGTCTTTTTGAAGCCAAATCTAGTGTGTGTAATGAAAAGAGCTTTGCAATGGCTGATAAACAGAGACAGACCTCTGGTGAACTGTTGAATATGCAGTCAGAGGGGCATAGAAGATCCGATTTGGTCCTCGGATTCATCCTTCAAGGGCTTAAATAACCATTTCAGTGCGTATGGGATAATATTTTCCATTTAAGATTTCCATTGAAGGGCAATAACTTCCAAAAAATGTTTCTGACTCAACTAGCTTGAGTATTAAATGCCTCTTTTGTTATCGCAAACAGATGTTTTGATCAAATTAAACATAACTTTCGCTCACACAATTGAGTATCTTTAGTCAACGGTCAGTAAAAGTTCAGTTTTGCATTTTTCCGAAAATACTTTGACCGCCATAAAAGTAACTCAACAGTTGTGCTTTTGTGAGCGTAGACAACATAATAATGACTGCTAGGGGTCGCCTCCGTCACCCCGAATGAATGACTCCCTCCTATATTTAGCCTTACGATATGTTATAGACTAAAATTAGTGGAGTCGCTGGGTTCAAGACAGTTAGTTTTTGAAAACAGATAAGACAATGTTGTCTAGTGGGTCTGGTCCAGAGATGGGCCTCTGGGTCATTTGGAAACCACACACAACAAGCAGTAATTGTCTCGGACCCCCTGAAGCAGAAGTGGTAGAAGGGGGAAGTCTGGGATTGGCTGCTTCACGCAAACAAAACTGGGCGGTCCCACCGAATTAGCCATATAGGCAAAAGACCTCGACCCTGCAGTGATCAAACCTGTCAGATCAGTAATCTCTCCACTTGAGGTGACTACTACGACCTGCGATAGAAAGGAAAGGCCTGGTCTTAAAACCAATTAGGTCACGGAGTTCCTCCTGCTTGGTTATAAAGCCCGGACAGGAACAAGAGGGGACAGTCACTTGGTTTCCTCTCCGCAGCCTGGGATCCTACCTTAGCGTTCCTCCGTGTGGAAGTACAGGGATTGAGAATGCCACATTTAACTGACTGTAGTTTCTACAAGATGAGAGACGGAGCTCGAGTTTCCAACGTAAGGACTTGCTATGTTCTGCTTTGACTTGTTTTGCGCAAGATAAGGGCCGTTTTGGTGCTTGGTTAAAGGGTAGTTCACCCAGAAATGAAAGTTTCTTTCTTCTGTGGAACAACTGAAAAAAATGTTTTTGTCCATATGATGAAACTCAGTGGGGTCTTCCACAGAAGAAACAAGTCAAACATGACAATGTAAGGGTGATGACAGCATTTACATTTTTATGTGAACTATCCCTTTCAGAATTGTGGTTTGGTTTTTTTGCTGTGGATTTGCAGTGATTAAGTCACTTTTGGGGACGTTTTAAGCAGGTAACTGAGATTGAGACATGGTTAAAATGCGATGTTGGGCTTAATATAGGCTTAATTGAAGGAAATAAGTGCACGTTTTTTGGGATATCTTGAATACGGTTAGGTGGTTTTGGTTGTGCAGATGCTTAATGTTGGAAAACAAGTTAAATGAAAGAGATAGAAGTACAATGACATCATTTGTGGACAAATGAGACTTACTAAGCTAAACAAAAAGCTAATTTTTCTCTTCTTTTTGAAGGTCCAAAGTCATCTGGAGAACTCCAAGTACCACCTCCACCAGACCCAGGCCCAGCAGGTCAAACAATACCTAACTTTGGGCAGCAAACTTGCTAGCCAGGCCCACCCGGTCGCCCATCCTCACCCGGGCCAGGCCCTGGGCACGGTGCCCGTCATGCGCAACGGACACATGCCACCCATGAGCGACAGCAGCACGCCAGGAAGCCCCGTCACCTTGCTCACGCTGGCCAACAATCACGACAGCGAGGTGAGTACTTCTTGTGATCTCATCTCTCTGAGTGTTTGTACTCATCAATAACTTTAAACATTCAGCTCTGATCACGTTGACAATGAAAGGATAAGAGCTGCTTTATCCTCACAGTCGTCTTTCAGAGATGATGAATCATCTGTTATTGGATTAGTGGCCCAGTTTATTCACACGTCTCTCACTTTTACTCTGCATTGACGACAGTGAAAATTAAACTCAAAACAAGCAAACAAACATCTCAGATTGACATATTCAACCTCTGTTGATGGAAGAATGCGCTATAATCACCGTTTTCTTTTAGTTTCCAATGGATGAAGTTATTGATGATCTTATTAGTCTTGAAACCGGGTTCAAAGATGGGGGTTTGGATTGTATGGAGCCGGGAATCATAATGCAAAATAATGTAAGTATATACCAAGTTAATCTCCTCACTTTGTCGAACTGTTACGTACCATGCAATTAATAATGACCGGTGTATAGAGGTGTAAAAAGTACTGGGAAATTATACTCAAGTTAATAAATGGCTTGTGCAGTATGTCAAAATAACTAACAGTCAAAATATCTAGTAAAAATCATACTTGAAAGTAAATTAATATATTATGCATTACAATGCAGACTTATTGCCTTATAATCAATTTAATTGAAAACAAAATAGTTTAACCATAACCAGAATATTTGCAGAATATCAATAATGAACAAAATAATGATCAATAATTAGATCAAATACTATTTTATATAATTATAAATGTTTTAGAAATATTTTAAAATTAAACAAAGTATTAACTATAACTATAATACCAGCAAGTAGTAAATAAATAAAAACTATAATTATAAAAAAGTAGAAATAGCTATTTGATGCATTATATAAAGACCTTAAGTAAAGTGTTACCGTGTAATGAAATGAAAATGACAAAGTGCTTCTGCCTGTGCATAGAGGAATAAAACAGGTCTGAATCTGAAATATAAGCTACATTTGTAGGTTTAAAAATGAATTAAACACATTAATAACACAAACACGTGCCAGTCTTTGGTGTGCTTGTGAAAAGGGGTTTGTCTTTGCGTGAGGTCCAGCTGAGAGTCAAAGTTCAGTCTCTGCAGTGAAAAAAAGGGGGAACAGACTTAAATCTCAGGCTTTAAACAGTGGAACAATACAGATTAGTCTGTTAATGTTGTCGGCATGCAGAGAGGTATGCCTTAGAAGAGCCAGACTATGTTAATGAGTGATCACTTCTCCAAAACAGAAAGAGGGAGCAAGCTAGAAAAATACCTCAACTCTGCTAAATGCCAAAAGCGCATTCTGCGAAGGCATTGCAATTCAGCTAGAGCCAATGAAAACCCTTAGGTAAGCATCTGGGCACACAAGTGGCCCAACTATGTGTGAGACCAGCATAAAATTGCTACTGTCATACTGACGTCCGTAGATGGACAATGCATCGCTTGAGTTGTGATGACCACAACACCTGAACTCACTAGAGAGGTATGTGATACTAAGAGCATGATGGGAACGAATAAGGCAGAGTGTGCAGAGAGAGAGAGAGAGAGAATGAGCAAGCGAGAGTTTTGTATTTGAGTAAGCAGTCAAGCATCAGATTGAGCTAATATCTTCTCTCCCAGTGGACTTGTTCAGAAATGATACCATGCTTAAACGGATCAATTCGTTCTAATTAGTCATACAGCACGACGCATCAAGCCGCTTCCCCGTGTCAACATATCTGCTAACATGATGGGAATGGATTGAAGCGATTACGACGCCAACAGTCAAGGGGCTGTGGCAATCTTTCATGTTGATAAGCGCACTCTTTCCCCTACTGAGATAATGGAGAGCGCGTACGAGCGGAGGAAACACTATAGCGCCTGCCACTTCTGTCTTCCTGTAACACTCTGACCTCCTCTTTAATCCTGGACTACATTTACATTTCACCTAAACGCTGACAGAAGTGGGCTTTTCACTGCTCTAGCTGGAATGGTAGATGGCGAAAAACGTACATGTAGATGTAAATGGTGCTGACCGATTATGCCATAGCAAAACTCCTCCAGAATAATAGAAACCGAGAATAAAAAATAAAAAAAAAGCTCTACAGCGCTCTCTTTTGTCTCCTGGAGTTTTGCTGAGTTTATCTGCTCATTTAAGACTCATAGACTGACTTAGCTCTGCAGAAATTCAGAATTTGATCATCCGTCATTCATAACATCCTCATTTTATATATTTGAGTTCATTTGATTATGCATCATCTGGCTGTAATAATCTGTAATCTGTATGCATCATCTGGCTGTAATATTGATCCTCAAAATAAGTGTAAAAAAGCAGGAAAACTTCATCTAGGCCTGTTTACTCTTAACATAGAGAATGTCAGTGTCATAAATCATGCATGTAACACCAAACATATTACGCAAAATAGACTGGATAAAAGATCACATAGATAGATGAACATTTAATGTCCCTGTGTGAATCTAGACTTGCTCTCTCTTTCCTCTGAAGGTGTCACTGAACAACAGCATGCTGGAGATGTACGGCGGTGAACAAGGTAAGACTGCCGCTCACCCTCATTGCCCACAAAGCTCTCAGTTAAAATGGAAGTCACCGGTACGGAGCACAGAAGGGCACAGACGCCTGTCCGAGCAGGACCTGTGCTGTTGCTGTTGGCAAAGGCATTTCAGAAAGAAACACTTACAGGAGCAGTTTCGTTTCAGATTAAAAACCGCAAAGATGCGACTGCAGTTTTGAAACGGTTCATTTTCTGTTTCTCATCTGGTAGAGCATTGCAATAGCCATGACAAGGTCATGAGTGTAAGTCCCGACACTCTTAGAAAAAAAAAAGTTTCAGTGGGGTTCTATATAGAGCTCTAGGCGGGTTCTTGACTTCATTTTAAAGAACGCAAATGTCTTAAATGATTGCATAATACTTTCACGATTTGTTTCTAGCGATGAAGTGTTTTCGAGCTGTTTAATTCTTAAAATGTCAAATTAATTAAAAGAAAATTAATTAATTAAAGCTGAATGCTTAAAATGATGCCATAATAGGAATCCCGAAAAGGTTTTATATATGAAACACCTGTCACCTGTCCATATAGAACCTTTTCTTCTAAGAGTGTAAGAAAACACAAATAAATATATAAAGAATAAGGTTTTTTGTGTTTCTTGGGACTTATTTTGTGACCGAAGAACACAAAAAATGTGTTGGGACAAAACATTTTTTTTGTGTGTTTCTTGGGACTTAACTTGTGACCTAAGAACACAAAAATAAAATGAATGAATGGACCTATAAACAAAGAAATATTTAAATACTTAAACTTGTGACCTTGTCACAACTAGCTCCATACTTGAATTATGAATGATAAATTAGCCGTCTCAAAATTACATTAACGTTTATGCATTTGGCATACTTCATTATTTTCTAAATTATATATTTTTTAAATTGACTTCTGCTATATTTCATTATATTATACTGTGATAAGTGTTCCCAATAAACACACAAAAAATAATAATAATAGTAAATATTATTTTTGTGTGTTTCTTGGGAACACTTTTATTGTAGTATAATATAATCAAATATAATTAAAGTCAATATGAAAATAAAAAATATTTAGTTCATTTGATTATGCTTTCATCTGCCTCTCATCAACACGTTTTAATCCTCAAAATTAGTGTAAAAAGTCTACAATCCATCACTCTAATTGCAGTATAATATGACGAAATATAATTAGTCAATATAAAAATATGCTAAAAAATATAGATATCCTGAATCCACTGTAAGTTGCTTTGGATAAAAGTATGTCAGATGCATACACATAAATATAATGTATTTTATACGTGCATGTAGGGAAGAAAAGTCCTATTCAACCGAGCTATTAAAAACAAAACAACACAACATAATCTTTCCTTCTGGAAATTCAGAAAAAAATACAAATAAATCAAGGGCATACTGTAAATAGACCTAGCAAAGCAAACCCAGACGGGCTCATTCCACATGTGTTATTCCAGAAGGCCCAGGCTGTGAAAGCCAAACACAACTGTATGTTTCATGTTATTATCCAGCTGTCTTATTCTAAGAGTCCGCGTGCTCCGTGTTTAGCTCGCCATTGTGTTGCTCTCATTCTTCATTATCAATGCTTCAGTGAGCGGGATATGGTAGCATGTATTCTTAGCATGATAGACATGGCACAATTCCTCCTTTGTGGGTGCCTTTTTTCTTATGAATGTCATGCATCAAGTAAAGCTAATTGATTCAGGAAATAGAAAGGATGCCTGGAGAACTCTTCACTCCGGCAGGAAAATAAGTGCATTACTATCTTTTTCACATAAGCGTGCTGCACGGCGCTCTTGTTTGGTTACGCACGGCTCAAATGACCTTATTGAATCAGCAGAAATGAATTGAGAAATCCAATCACTGCTCCCAATTATATAATTTGGAAGAATGTGAATATGAATGCAGAAGCATTAGGCCTCCCTCCTCTTCACCCGCTCCGGGATGTCAGCAGCAGATTAATCGGAAGGTCCGGAAGGATTAAAAGAAGATACACAGCTTTTCTACATTAAGACAGAGATCTGGTGTTGACTAGTCTGGTGAGAATGACACTTATTCAGACACAAAAAGGCTGCATGAGATGGCTGTTGTTTTGGGACTAGGCAGGAATCTTGAGGACTGGCTAGGAAGTTGTTAAAACTAATGATGTTATTAATCTAATGGATTTTTTTCTTTTTTTTGCATCAGCATGATGTTCAACTTACCTTTGGATATACACTTATTAGTTTCTGCAATAACCCTCCCATCCTTTCTTCTTCTCTTACAGAACACGACACCAGAGTCACGGCCAAAGAAAGACAGAAAAAAGACAACCACAATCTAAGTAAGAGGGCATTTGCACTTGCTTATTTAACCCTCGTGTTCTGTTTAGAGACCCAGAGGCCCGGAAAATTCCTCCGGGAATCTGTTGTTAACAAAAATGCTCAAAAAATGGCTTTTCTTTTTGTGGTGTGCTTTTTATGGGACTCAAATTGACTCCAGAACTGAAGCAAAGTGGCTGTATTCCATATAACAGTCAAATTATTAGCATGCATATTACTAGGATATTAGCTGTTTATTAGTACTTATAAAGCGCGTATTAATGCCTTATTCTGCATTACCATATTCTACATCCCTTAATCCACCCAATACCTAAACTTAAATGCCTTACGAACTATTAATAAGCGGTAATTAGGAGTTTATTGAGGCAAAAGTCATAGTTAATAGAAGGAATTGGACCCTAATCTAAAGTGTGACCATTTATATTAACAGATACTTTTAATTTTAATAATGTATTAGTAAATGCTGAAATTAACATTTAGCATACTTTCCATTGTTATGTTAACTAATGCAGTTAACTAATGTTAATGAATGGAAACGTATTGCAGACTGTTACCAATATTCTTTCAGATTTTTGGGATAATGAGGCTAATTTCAAAATGTTATTTTATTTATTAATTACTTAAATGTAATTTAGGGTCTAAAAAGACAGTTCAAGTCACTTTCAACAAAATATGATGGTTAAATATTTAATGTAATTATTTCTATTCAATAATAAGCCATTCAATATTGTAATTCGATTAATTATTTCTATTTAATATTAATATTGCTGCATGACTTACTTTGTTCTCATAATTGCCAGTTGAAAGACGACGGCGATACAACATCAACTACAGGATCAAAGAGCTGGGAACGCTGATACCGAAATCAAATGACCCGTAAGTACAAGTCTTACTGGATTCACAGCCGAACTCAAAGTCTTCACATCAGAGATAGACTCTTAAAGACAGGGCAAAATGACCCTGAAGGAGAGACAAAATGACAGTACAGGGCTCATTTCTCAAGGAAATACCTACAGCGCGAACAGACCACCATCTGAATGATGAAAATGAGGTTCAAGGCAAAGTATAGACCATTTGAACTAAAGTTTAAGCACAACTGAACCCAGAGATGAAGTACGGTGCAGACAGGGAGCCCATTGCCCCGGCTTAATTGAACTTTTTATCGAATTTAAATGGAAGTCTAGTGCTGTCACCTTGCCATTAACACAAGATAAAGGAGATTATTAGCTCCGATCAGGCCAACATCTTATTCCAAAGAAAGAGACAATTTCACGACACTTTCCTCCTTTTAAAAAGTAATGGTATCGGGAATGACTGCACTTTAGTTCGGCTTCCAAAGTCCAATTTTTTTTCTGCCTCTTCCGACACCTATTTTTGCTCAGGGATTAATTTTACCGTACAAGGGGCCACAGAATGGTCTTTCTGCAGACGTACTTAACTATTCCATTAAAATTCCCATTCAAAGGCAAGGTAATGTCCGAGAATGAATAATTGGCCATGTAAATCACAGTTTCTTGGTCCTGGGGAAAAAAAGGAGACCCTTGTGAGGCTTTTCTCTGTGTATGAAAGTTCTGCTGATGCAAAGGCGGTGTTGAGAAAGGTTATCTTTTACGTTTCTCTGCCAGTGATATGCGCTGGAACAAAGGGACGATCCTCAAGGCCTCGGTGGAATACATTAAGTGGCTGCAGAAAGAGCAGCAGCACGCCCGTGATCTCGAGAGCCGACAGAAGAAACTAGAACAGGCCAACAGAAGACTCCAGCTACGAATCCAGGTAAAGACACAAAAAGAACAAGTGAACGAGGGGAATATGGCCAGAGAATGAGATGTAGACATGAGAGACGGTAGAAAGCGATGGTTGTAGGAGCGAAAGGCAAGATTTTTTTTTTTTTTTTTTTTAAGCGAGTGATGTAAAACATGAAATGATGACAAAAGATCAGCTTACATTCCAAGCTAAGACAATGACATCTTTATAAACTATCAGATGAAACAATTTAATTCTACACTTGGAGCATTTATCCGAAATAACATCTAAATTGGGCTGATAGCATTAAATTAACCGTAATTTTATTTAAAAAAAAATGGGGAAAAACAATAATTCATAATTAAGTCAAAAAGAGTTACAACAGAAACAGCAGAATTACCTACTGTACATAACAGACCAAGGGGCAAAAATGATTTGGTGAGTTGTTTGTTTGACAATGAATAACCTGAATAACTCTCTCCTTGTCAGATCTACAGACATGATAAAATGCAGTAAAATTGAGCAATATTGCATTTTGTTTTGTTTCTCGTTGGAAAATTAGCTTGAAACTGGAAGCAAAAAAAAGTCACTCTACTAAAAACCTAGTAGGTATCAGTACTTTTAGTTCGTTACTCCCCAACATTGATGGACAAGCAGCTAAAACCAGCATGATAGTGTCCACACTAAACTGGTCACTTACGCTGATGACCATCTTTACCAGCTTAGCCTGAAAACAAAGGTTCAAACACACCTCCCCGTGTGCCTGACATCTGAGCGACCTGCTCCTATCCATGTTTGTAACCGCCTTTCCGGCCCCGCTTCGAAACACGGTGAGCTGAGCTGATTATCTGATTAATAATAGCGGCTACAGCTTCGTCAGGAGAGGAATGTGCCCCGGAATTAGATTATGAGGGCTAATAACTTTGAAGAGCTGGGCTCCTTGTCTGAATTTATGCATTAGTTTCCAACAGTATTGACATATTCACGGACCAGGCGCGAGTCTTCTTCACACATGTGAAGACATCGCAATTAGCCCTCAAAGTAATTACCCCGAGGCTTCCTTTCCAAAAGCTAATGCTAATAATACCTCAATTGAGTGTCTGAAGATACCCACGCTGAGAGGCAATGCAATAGCTCATTTAGACTGTCTCCGCTACAGATGATGTGTGGGAGTAATGGAAATATGAAACCATAGCGCTTAGTGTAGACACTTGCAGGAGTATTAGGTTAGTAATTAGTGTTAATCTCATCGACCAAATGAGTGAACAAATCTTTTCATTATTTTTATTTTTTTATTATTTAATCAACAATAACAAAAGGGAGTAATAAACGTGCACATCATTATATTTAAATGATTTTAATTTATAAGAAGATGAGTAAACAAATAAAGAATATGAGGTCACACTTTTTTTTACAGTGTCCATGTTACACATCTTGCATGTAATTATGCATAATTTACTGTTTTGACTACAGTAAATTCAAGCAACTAACCCTAAACCTAACGCTAATTATATAGTGCATACGTGTTGTTAAATACTATTACTCCATAATAAAAATACAAAATTAAAAGTATTAAAAAAAACATAACACCCAAAAAATGCCTGATATTAATGTTTTTCAAAGAAAAATACAGAACATTAATGTAATATCCAATAATAATGTTTTAAATGATCCAATCACCCAAACTCATTCTATACATATAACATTAATCAGATATTTAAATATGTATAAAATGTCAATTATTTGGTTTATTTTGCTTTTCAGTAAAATGTACTCAAATGAATAAACATGACCAATTTAAGAATATTTTCACCAAAAACTGTGTAATGGTGTCAGCTCAAGGCCAAAGGTCTGGGCAAGTTAATGATTGTGCGCCACACACCGTTAAGCTGTCCTGTTGTAACGTTACCTCAGAATTGATCTCTGTGATGGATGAGTTTTTGAAGTTGAATGCACCCCTTCATGTGTTTATGGTTCATAAGGGCCTAGAGCAAAAAAGAAGAAGGAAAGAGACCAAATTAGAGTGCCATCTATTTCTGTCCGACTTGACCCGGACGGCCTGAATGCAAAGTGGACAGTTTATCTCAACCCACCTTCCTGTGTGTATCTTTGACAGGAGTTGGAAATCCAGGCTCGTGCTCACGGTCTGCCCAGTATGGCTGCTCCAATGGGAGCAGTTGAACTTTCATCCCATCTCCTGAAGCAGCACCCGACCCCCCCGCAGCCAGGACAGCCCCCCCTCTACCCTCAGGAGGACATGAGCAGCCCGGACTACACCCAGCGGACACCCTTACCGGCGGCCATGGTCGTGGGGAACGGCGGAGAACAGACCGACGGCTCCACCACCTTCTCAGATCCTCTCTCCCACTTCACTGACTTCTTCTGCAGCACCTTGAAAGAAGAGCATCGGCTGGACGAGATCCTGATGGACGACCCCCTCTCGCCCTTCGGGACCGACCCACTCCTCTCCGCCGGATCGCCCGCGGCGTCTAAAGGGAGCAGTCGCAGGAGCAGCTTCAGCTCAGAGGAAGCAGACGATCTCTGACCGTCCCGACGCCGACCTGCAACACTGTGTAACTGACCTCCCGTTTCCATTGGATTACAAAGACGACGGGAACTCATCCCAACATCTTACCCAATGTTGAGTCAGACACATCAAAAAAGGGAGATTGACTGATCTACTGACATTGACATACTGTGCAGATAAAGGACTGTCTGTACAGCAATAACACTGGTTACAAGTGATCACTGGATTACCAAATGTATATGTCTGACACTTAATGGCATTGTTGAGATGGACCAGACTAAAGAGAGAAATCTTTTTGTGCCTTATCCAAAGCAAGCTAACTTTATTACCGCTGAGACCAGAAGCGATGCAGATGTAATTATGCTAGGCAGGAAAACCCTAACACATCTTTCTGTATCGTACTACATAATGTATTTTTCCAGAAACATACTGTTCAAGTATTTATGTTTTAATCCCTGTATTCTTAAAAAACATTTCTTATTCTAACATTCTTTTACTTTTTATATATAACTCTAGGGGTGTGGGAAAACACAATAAACCCCTTTTTGATAAACTCAACACACTGTCTCACATTTCTTGCATATTCGCTAAAGAAGATAGTTTGAAGAATGTTGGCAACCAAACTGTGTTGGTGACCAATAAAAACAACACAAGGACATACCTTCATGTTGTTCCAAACCTGTCTGACTTTCTTTCTTCTGTGGAACAAAAGAAGATGAGTAAATTATGACATGTGTATAATAAATTATTATGTGTGTGTGTGAGAGAGAGAGAGAGAGAGAGAGAGAGAGAGAGAACTGTCCCTATTATCAAATAATAATAAAATGGCAGTTTAGAATATTTTGTAGAATGTTAAAACTTTACATTTAAGTTTAAATTCTTGAAAAGTATGTTCATCATGAATCTCCAATTTGCATGGAAGCTTGTTTCCACCATGGAATAAAATATATATAGCCACGAAATATAAAGCCACAAATCTGAGAAATAAAGTTTATATCTCGCAATTACAATTTTTTCCATCAGAATTGTGAGGGAAAAAGTCGTAATTGTCAAAATTATTATTATTTTTTTCATAAAAGTCAGTTTTTTTCCCCCTCAGAATTGCAATTCTGCGTGGGAAAAAAGTCTGAATGGCAAGATATGAACTCGAATTTGAATTGACCTTTTTATTTTTTTATTCCATGGTGGAAACGTGCTTCCATAAATGAATCTTAAATCTACAATGCTAAAACTTTTAATGATTTTTAAAAAATCAAATATTAAGCATTCCAATACCTATTAGTACTATATACTTTTATAATCTATCAAATAAATTCTTCTAACAGTTAATGTATTAACACATTTTACAAACTTTACATTCAAAAAGTTATTGACGCCTGACAATTAAGACGTTCTTAAAAAAATATTTTTTCTCTATGAACTGCACTTCTATTTACCTTACATAAAAATTTTTTTTGTGAATCCGGCCCAAGACTGAGGAGAGATGATGACACCCGGCTCCCACTGGGAGGCTGACAGTTCGATTGACCACTGATGAAGATGACCCTCACCCGCAGGACACTACTGACACTCAAATAAACACTAATTATTATGTGCCAGCGGTCTTCTGAACAACTACTAACACAAAAACCATCCGCAGAAGAAGTTTACCACAGAACAGTCATGAGAGAAATCCCAAACGAGTTGAGTTCTGCTGCATATACAAACACTAACGATCATAAATAGTTAGCAACAACATGTAAGACGAATCTCACAGCTGCTCTGAGCCTCTTCTGAGTCGAGTTGATTTAAAGTTTTATTTTGGACTTGCCCAGAATAGGCAGCCTTCTAAAGACGCATTTCATTAGCAGATATTATTTAACCAAAATCGAAAATGAAATAACACATTAATAATACAACAAACACTAGCACAAAAACACGTCAATGCATTTCAGCAGATAGCCCGCGTTCATCAAAGCCTGGCTAAATTAATGTTTGAGAATGTTATTAGCTTATATGTTTCTCTGTAATGAAATCGAAAAAGCTTCGACTTGCATCTCCGCCGCAGACGGAAAATAAAATTGAACTGCCACATCATTATCAAGCACTGATGCTCCAACTACAAAGTGCTGAGTGATGTTTACGCTTAATTGGCCAGAGCAATTACCCAAAGTAAATATGGATTTTCATTAAATTACAAACATGGACGAGGCCTCATGGCGCAATTTCCTTTTTCTCAGCCACTTCCAAACCAGTTTTCCTCCGCAAACACAGTCCTTTGATTTATTTCAATATGGATAAAGAATTGAAAAAGGAACAAATATTATGTTCAATGCAAAAAAGCAATCATACTATCGCACATATGCAAGACTAGAGAAGGAGAGATCTACAATTGTTGAAGTCAGATGAGAAAGAAACTAGATTTTTACATTCTGAAGACAATCGGAGCGAAACTTGAGCATGCAAAACGTGCCACTATAATGCTAGGGCTTTTGTGTATCGCTAGTACTAGTGCTTTCTAACTGGTCCAGATCAGAGTCCACCTTCAAGTCTCTGTGATACTGTGGTCTGTAGTTATACAGTAACTCTGGTCCCTTCCTCAGAGCAACTCTATGGAGTTTTGTCACATGTTAAATGGTGATTTACATGCAAACAGAACCATTTCATCCTGAGGTTTAGGGGTCTGTTCAGATCTCACCACTAATAATATATCATACATTATTTAAAACGCGCGCACACACACACACAATGTATTATGCAGCAGAAACTTAGATAGATATTCTACATAGTATTTCAATCATTCACAGCCATAGGTCAATATATTTTCATTTCTTAGAAAAATTACAATTAATATATGACTTTAATGTAGAATCGCAGAAAATGGAGGGTTGTTGTTACCTGTTTTCAGCTGAATTAGTTCCCGCTGTCCTGTGTGTCACCAGCAGATGGTGGTAATAGACTGAGATCCTCACATGTGCCACACAATGAGAGCTGAGAATCTATAGTCAGTAAATCATGTTTCACAGCGACCTCCGGATTGTTCCGCCGTCTGATGTTGATTTATATAAATCTTGGAAAAAAAGAAGATGCAAGTCATTGGGAGATTTTTAGGGGGAAAATATAAGTGGCTTTGCTTCTTAGATGTGTACAAGCATCAGATGTTATTTATTTGTGCAGGAATAATAGAGATAAACCTCCATATAATCTGAGAAAGGAATAAAGAAAGAAAAAAAGCATCTCACACTCACCTGGTGGAGAGGTCAATGTGTAAAAATACACAAAATCCATATTTAAAAAGTGCACGTAAAAACATTATAGCATTAAAAAATAAACATAAAAAACATTATTAACATGATTAAATAATAATTTCATAAATAATGGTATAAATTAGATCAACTACTTGGGACTGCAACAAATTAAATAAAGTGATTAACTTTATTTATTTTTAAAAAAGAATAACTTTTATCATTTAAATAAACAATTTATGCAAACATTGACCGATCAAAAGGTAACGCTTTATATTCCACTGTTCATGTTACACTCTTACATGTAAAGAGAATTCATTAGAACCAAAGTCGGCATGAAACGGAAGTTACGGCAGTCTTTTCTTCCCTACTGTGACGTATATCAGAGTGAAACGGCTTATCAAACAGGAAAACATGTAGGGCGGGGCTTGAGTTTGCGGGGAATTGATTGGATGGTTGTGGTTTGCTATTAGTCGATCTGATGTGAGTGACAGGTTGCTCCGCCCTCTCGCCAGTGAACACATCATCAGGGAGAGGAAGTTACTATGATTAAAGATTATGAGGGCACATTGTTTAAAAAAAAATATGATGTGCACAAATAAATCATTTATAATAAATACAGCAATATTCATAAGAATTGTCAATGTTGATTTCATGGTGACTTTAATAAGTTTGATTGTGATCAATCAGGCTAACTAGCACTACCCAGGGTTAGACTGCACATGAGAGCTGTGGTGACGGTAACGTCCCCAGGTGAACCCCACTGACCAGCCTTCCCATAATCCTCTGGGGCAGAGCCTCCATTTTGTGTTTATGGGACCACACCCAGCAGTATTTCCCAAACTCCCACATCACTGGCCGGAGAGCCGAATTAACGACGGAGCACAAAGAGATGAAAAGCCTCCAGCGGGGCGGCGCTATAAAACCCCTGAATGTGATTTCCAGAGATCGAATGAATTGAACCAGATGCCAAAACATAACTTCAAACAAATTGACTTCCAATTATTTAGACGCACACTTCCAGATGTGCCGCAGATGCAGACGGGGAGAGCAAAGGTATCTCAGGCCCGTGTGTGCTTTATTCCACAATAAAGATGGGGTACGGTCGAGTGTGTTTTAAATCACTCGGATCAGGGCAGGATGTGGAGACGACCGGTGCGGATGTGGAGACGAGAGTGTCATTAGGACAAAGTGAACTGACAGAGTTCCAGACAGACATTAATGGACAAGACCATTTAGAGAGAGAGAGAGAGAGAGAGAGAGAGAGAGAGAGAGAGAGAGAGAGAGAGAGAGAGAGAGAGAGAGAGAGAGAGAGAGAGAGAGAGAGAGAGAGAGAGAGAGAGAGAGAGAGAGAGAGAGAGAGATTTGGGAGAGGTGCTGGGAGAACAGTCATCTAGCAAAGACATTTCTTAAATGCTAATTTGCCTCCTGCCAAACCTTCATTCTGGAAATGAAATCACAGGCGGAGGAAAAACTTGCTGCTCTGGTTTTCTAATGCATATACATGAGTGCATATTAATTCACAGGTTTACCTACATTTACTAGCATACGTGCGAAACTCTGATTGACGCATGTTCATTTTGCAAGTATACCACAGTGAATCGTTTTTGCACTGCCATAAATATAGCCATCCACTGATATTGAGTTGCCAATGTCTGATGTAGAAACAGCATTATATTGGCTTTTCACTGCCCTGATTTCCAGATATCTACCTATCAACTATCCAACTCTAAAGTATAAATATTATATATACAACTATGTGTTTTATATATTGAATGTATCAAATAATCACTATTTAATTATATATATATATATATATATATATACACAAAAAAAAAAAAAAAATCCAACAAATTGAGTATATAAAATTGCCAAAAAATTATATTTTTTTAACAAAATAAACTATTTACTCAAAATTCACAAAGAACCTAATTAATAATAATAATAAAACAAATCAATTCATTAATAATAAAAAAAAAAACTGAAATTGCCTGGAGATTTCGTAAAATGACACAATTGGCTGAATGTATACTAAACAACTTAAAATATCAGAAATTAGCCAATTAATGGGTTGATTTATTGGTCACTAGTAAACCGTTAAAAAAAAGATGATTATTAATATGCAGCAATTTTATAGACAGTCCCACATTTAATAGACTAACCCAACATCTTACACCGCCCCGTGTAAGAGCCCTGTGGGAGCCCTGTATATTTTCTTTATGCTTAATATCTATAATTGACCAGTGCAAAGTGCAAAGCGCAAAGCGTTCATTCCATTATAAACAGTAAGAGTGTGTTTGGGGAGGTCGAGCTGGGATTTCTGGGAATTCTGAA